ATGACGGGGTTCCGCCCGCATAAACAGAAATACTCTCTCGTCCTTTTACTAGTCATCAAACTTTCTTTTCAAGAAATATTACACATTTTACAAATCTAAGGGGACAGGCCTGCTTAGATAAGAGTCTGCCAGCTCTGGCCGCATCTGTTGGCAGCTGGATTGGCGTGACAAATCGGTGGTTTCCCCCAGAATGCACACGGGGCGCCAGAATGGAACAGCTGCTCTGCACCTTGGCAGGGGTTGACGTAGTTGCTATTGCAAATGAGTTTTTCCAAATAATGACCTTGTGCAATGTGGGATATTAAAATTTGTTTTTTTGCTTGTTTTTTAACCCTGTCCAACATTCTAGCAGCCTGAGAGATTTGGAGATAGTAAACATTCCTCCTCAGTTTCGAGATAATACTTGACAAACAGATAACCATAAGATATTGCAAACAGCAAAGATGTGAGGGGAAACACAAGCCCAAGGAGATTAATAAATAATGAGGAGGCAGGGCGTGGTGGTTCACGCCTGTAATTCTAGCACTTTGGGAGTCCGAGGCGGGTGGATCGCTCGAGGTCAGGAGTTCAAAACCAGCCTGAGCAAGACCCCGTCTCTACTAAAAATAGAAAGAAATTAATTGACCATTGACCATTATATATATATATAAATTAATTGACCATTGTATATAAAAATATACATACAAAAAATTAGCCGGGCATGGCGGCGCACGCCTGTAGTCCCAGCTACTCAGGAGGCTGAGGCAGTAGGATCGCTTGAGCCCAGGAGTTTGAGGTTGCTGTGAGCTAGGCTGACGCCACGGCACTCACTCTAGCCTGGGCAACAAAGTGAGACTCTGTCTCAAAAAAATAAAAATAACAAGAAGTAAGTGTGGTCAGTGACAGATCCCTGCTGGTTCATTACTTGGGCTCATGTGGAAAGCCAGGAGAGGCGAGCAGGACTCCTGTAATTCTGTGAACTGTGGTTCCTAGTCCTTAAATGCTCTCAGATGCATATCACAGGGTGTTTATGTTCTCTTAGCAAAAGAAGCATTATTCCAAAATCGTGAACAGTGGTCAAGTTTGGAAAGATTATGTGTAATCTAATCACTAGCTTGGTAAACCTCCTTTGCACTCCCTCCCTCAGGAGGACTCACTGCCTAGTGTGTGCTGTAGTTCCTAGTCTGTGTCACCCTGAGCCCTCATGTCCCATGGAGATTGTTCTGGGGCAGCTGGGTAGGAGCAAGCAGGTGGGCTCCCAGGCCCCCTCCACCTGCTTCCTTGAGAGTAGCCCCTCATTTGCCTGCTGAGTATATCAGAAAACCATGGAAGATTTTGTTTGGCTTCTTCTGCTCCAAAAAAAAAAAAGCTTCAAAATCAATGGTAACATGGCATTTGCATCCATTTGCAAGTGTTTTTTTCCACTCAGTGATATGCTTTTGAAATATACCCATGTTAATATAGAGAGAGTCCAATCCTTGTGGAATAAACCACAGTGTATTCGTTCCCCTGCTGATGGATATTTAAATGGTCCCCCATTTTTCACCATCTACAGTAATGCATCAGTGGGGTTAAGGACATTTTCCATATATGCAATGGATGGTGCACTCTCAGCTGGACGGGAGGGAAGGGACAGCAAGGGGGCAAGCAGATGGCTGGTAAGAACCTGGAGGCAGTGGAGTAGGGGACTAGGACCTGCAGGGATGCAATAAAGCCAGGTCCCCCCAACTGTCAAAGTGGGTCTGTGAGCTGGAGGACCCAGAGGTGGCACAGAGTAAGCAAGGATGAGGCACAGAGTGTGACCGTGGGAATGGGCGGCTGAGAGTGGAGAGGAAGATGATGAGTCTGTCAAAACCCTGAGAGGCCAAGGTGTCAGCCGGGTCGTTTGCTCCTTCAGCTCCACCCAGAGTCCCTCTCAGCCCTGCTCTGTGCCCCAGAGGCTGGCCTGTAAGTACCATCTGAGTGCCCAGGCCCTTGCCCTCGGCCTCTGACCGAGAGGCACGCAGCCTGAACGTGGAAGGAATGGAGACAGGGAGTCCGTCCCCAGCCCTCCCCGCCAGGTCCCTGCAGGTGGGCTGTGACCCTCTGCTGCAAGGCCCTGCTCCTTTCCCTGTGATTCGTCCTTCCAGTTACAGCAAACGCCCCCTCCCTACCCACCCGTGCCTCGGGGGTCTGCATGCCCAACTTGGGTTTCTTTTGTGCCAAGAATCATTCTTTTGACCTCTTTCCCTCCATTAACATGTTCACATGTGCCATCTCTTTCCTGCCAATCTCACGGATACTGAAATCCCTGAAAATGATGACAGGAGTAGGGTAAGATAGGGAGGAAGTTGTTGAGTCAGGTGCTAAAACCTAGTGAGGGGGCAGTGTCCATAAGTCTACATAGAATGAAACTATTTCACATTTTATAACTATCCTTTAAAACTGAAATCCATGCCTAATTTTTTTCATGAATTGCTAGTGTTAGCACAATATCTGACATGTAGAAAGCATTTTAAAATGAAAATAAATTGAATTGGACTGAATTAAATTAAACTGAATCGAATTGAGTTTCACTGAATAAATGAGATGCTAATTTTGCACATTTTAAACATCATGGGTGACACCCCCCCCTTCTTTTTTAAAAAGCTTTGTGAACATCAAATAATAAATTAGATCAGGGATTAAATTTCTGAGCTGAATAATAAATGTTTGATTATATTAGCATCTCATGCAGAAAAATGTTGAGGCCATGACATTTGGGGATAAATTCAGATCCCCTTAAGCTTTGAGGACCTGCTTGCTTGATATTGTGAGCAATATTGCTCTTGGAAAACACCTTGCTTTCTATCTCTAAGGCAAAAAGCAACTTATAGTACTTCCAGAATATATAACTATTCATTTGAAAACAATTTCGATAGACATCTATTATATTTTCTTGAATTATAACACTAAGTAGAAAGAAACAAAATAAAAAATCTTGTTTGCTTTTGAGTTTTAATCAATCTAAAATACTGTGTGTTGGGTCTTTATACAATAGGAGTTAAACCTCCTCTGGCATCACACAGTGATTATTCTCCTCAAATAGGAGATTTTAGTGATAGTTAACCAAGGGGAAAATACAAAGTAAATATGGTTCAACTTGCATTTCATCTTTTTTTTTGGATGTGGGGAGGTGTTTCCTCTCTTTTTTCCTTTCTCCAAACACTGAGCATGTAGTAGTGTGATGCTATCCCTGTGGCGCCCGTTGTCTGTTCGTACATGCACTTGCATTTCAGACTGCCCGTTATTTTAAAAGCATTTCAAGTCAGAGCTTGAGATTGGGCCTTTGATGCCAAATCAATGACAAGGACTAATTTGGTGTTGCCGAAATCATTTATTCAATTCTTCATGTACTATAATAAGAAAAGTAGTTTTAAAGCAAAGGTTATTGCTAGCATTTATGAAGAAGAAATCTAATTGTTTTAATGTGGCAATAAAAGTTCTTGCCAGCAATCTCAATTTGGGGTAGCCCCTATTACAAAAAGTCTAGAGCTAGCAGATCAGGAGATTTTAACATGGGAAAAATAAGGGGACAGTCTAGAGTCAAAGATGATGGCTCCATCCTGATTACAACCTCAGAAATGTGTTCAGCTGGTCATCAGAGGGGCAAGAACTGCTTGGTCCAGGCTAGGATGCTCGACTGGGATGACTTCATCTCCTATGCCAGCTTCCATGGATGAGTCATAGCTCCTGGGGGCTAAATCAGGGGGCCCTGGGGAGTGTGCTGGCATCAACTAGTGATGTCTGCCACCTCAGGCTAAGGTGGGGGAATAGCAACATTCAGGATGTGGTAGAAAAAGTAGAATCTGAAGTCAGTGTCAAGGTCAGACTCTTATCTCCATCTCTTGTTAGCTGTGATATCTTGGGCAAGTAACCCATTCAGCAATCTCAGTTTTCTCATCTATCAAATGAAGATAATAAAAACTACCAAGAAAATTAAAATCAGTATCACAATAAAGAATTAAAGTACAGCTTAATTCTCAGTTGTTGCTAGTATGTTTTGCCTGTCACAATCTAGTGTTTCCCTCCTTTAAACTTGTGGTATTTTATCATTTCTATTACTCTTTTGACAATTAATTGCCAACTACCTACCAACTCACGTTAGTGTATTGTATTCCTTCACCACACCTTACCTCTCTGTGCTGCCTACGCTGTCCAGCCCGTGCCTCCCCCCTAGTGGGCTAGCCGAGTCTGTTTATTGAAGGAATGTGAGCGTATTACTAACAGCATTTAAAAAACTTCAAATGTTGACAGGGAGATGAGTAGTAACTTTACCTTATTTGAAATGATATTTGAAAGGATTATTTGAAAGGATTATTATTTTATTTGAAAGGATTATTATTGTTATTTCATGTTCATAAGTTCATACTTTGTTTGTTTGAAAGGATTATTATTATTTGAAAGGATTATTATTATTATTTCATGTTCATAAGTTCATACTTTGTTTGTTTAAATGGACTTTATTTTCAAGGAACCCTGTGCTCAATGAGGGCCGTGGGCCTGTTTGCAAAGGGTGCAGGCAAACGCTCCTGGGGACTGAGGCACAGGGAAGGGGTCCGTATTTCTGTGGGCAAGGCCGCTGACACCTGTGGGTAGGTCCCACTTTCGGGGCTGACCAGTAGGCAGGGGACTGGGCTGGGGACTGTGCACTTCCTCTGCACAACATTGTCACTTTTTATCCATCTCCTTACTTCTAGAAACTTCCCCCTCCTCTTTGCTGACACTGGACTCAAAGGATCAGAGAGTTTTAAACGGTTCACTTGGTGACAGGCCCTGGCCACAGCGTCGAGCCACCTGGATTCAGTGTCCAGTGTTCTCGCCACTGTTCGAGGCTTTTAAAAGCCAGCTCTCCCGAAAGTTAATTGTGCTTCCACATAAATCATTTCTTCCAGCTTGATGGAAGGTTCCTTGGCTTTCTGGTTATCACTGCAAGGACAGTTAGTTCCCAGTTGTTGCTGCCAACCATGTTAACAACCTGTTTCTTCTTTCTGTGGTGACAGGCACATCTCATCGTCCTGAGTAGAAGCTCCTCTCAAGAGGAGGTAGCGGACTCCGCGCACTTTGTCGCCCGTGCTGCCCTCGCTTCTGGGAGGCCCGAGCACCATGGTGAGAATAAGCCTTCTCTCCTCCTGTCCCCCTGGGTCTGCAAACTAGCTGCCTTCTGGATAGGTAAACAGGTGGATGGAGTTGTGACACAGGCCCTCCCGAGAGCCTTCCTCGTTTTATCTGATCATCTATAGTTACGCTACTCTGCTCATTGCCCCAGTGTCCTTTGGTTCCCTGCTCCCAGGCTTCCTCTAATCTTTGACTCCTAAATACGGCTAATCTGCATCCAAACATAGCTATGAGGAGGCCCAGGGAGTCTGCACTGGGCTTACAGGGAAATCTGTTCTGCTTTCAAAGGTGATCTATTTTTAAAGATTGTTGTGACGCTACTGTGGCGACAGCCCTGGCCTGTGGGCCAGCCGGCCTCGGACTCTCTCAGGGCTGGGCTTTCAGTCAGGATGAACTTACAGCTTCAGGATTCCAGAAGGAAGTTGCCATTTATGTCTCATAAGGTTTTTCTTATCCCCACATAATACGTAGAGCAGCGAGCTCCAGGGATTCTTTAATCCACCATCCTGGCTCAGAGCATACAGAGCATACGATGTGCTTCTATGGATAGAAATCACATACTAATGATTTTTTTTATCAGAATATTCAGAGATGGAGTATAATTCATAAAGAAGACCTAGGGGTGTATTCTAAGATATCAGATAAAAATAATTATGTATGAAGTGAAATAGGGTCCAATGCACCTGAAAGCATAAAATCAGTTCCTAGAAGGCTTGGGGTTGGTTCAGGAAGCAGGAGTCAGGCTAAGACGAGGAGGCCAGCATGAGCAGTCTGGTCTGAAAAGATCCACAGGCCAGAAGGGAACCTCGAGTCCACAGAGGAGCTGGTGAAGGGGGTACCACTGTTCATCCATCTGTCCGTCCCACCTTGCACATCTCTCATTCTGGCCTCCCTGAGCTTGAAGCACCTTCTCAGAACCAGAGGAACCTACCAAGGGATGGAGAGAGGAGGCAAGTGACCTTCTGGCCCTCCCTCCCTAAAACATTCAAACATAACAATCAGATTTTCCTTCAAAACCTTCAAAGAGTGAACCAACTTTGACCAAGTTTTTAGTGCCTCAGATTCACTTAATAAGAAGAAAGAAACTTCCATTTCATAGCTACTAATAAAACACCTAAACTGCAAATACATGTTTGTTTGATGGAGACCCCTAGAATAGCAAGAGTCACAAATCTGAATGTCCACAAGAACCAAGTAAGCAATGTGAGTGAAGTGGTGGTTATTAGGAACCAGCCGCAGCAGCAAGCATGATTATGTGGCAGCTCACTGCTGGCTATAGTGTAAGAGACGAAACAGAGTGGTGAGGACTGTGGCAAACTAGAGAGTCCCGGCCCCTGGTACGTAGCTCTGGGCCATTTCAGCCATAGGCAGGCTTATATTAGCAGATACTTCTGCTTTTTCAAAAGAAAGCAGAGATTTGGATTTTTATGTGAAATCTCCAATTTTTAATTGATGGTTACTAACTCAAATATATCCTCTGCTTGAGTCAAAACAAGTGTGAAGGTTGGAACCAGGATTTCTGGCCTGGAAAGCAGGAGTGTGCTAGGTGGTTGTCAGATCATTCCTTCTTTTCTCAGGGGCTCATGGGTCAAGACAACTGGAGGGTTCTGAGCATTTGGCCTGGTGGGGTGTGGGGAGAAAGGGAATAGTCCTGAGCAAATGCTGAACAGAGAGAGGAGGATAAGGCCAGAAGACCATCTTTTTGCCTAGAAGGATTCGTTTCCAGCACGTCACCTAATGTCGGTGCACTCACCTGTTGAAGGTATGAATTGAGTAGGGACCCATAGAAATTGTGGCCTAAAATGTTTTTGTCCTGTAGGTGCAAAGTTATGCCACTCTGCTTGGCATGGTTTACAGAATCAGAGACAAATCCAGAAATTTCCAGCCTAACTATAGTACTGGTATTGCCTTCCCTGTAGATTGAGAATGATAACAATATGTATTTGATATAGATAATAATGTATGTGAGAAGTAAATGACTCACAATCAGAATTGAAATATGTAAGAAATGTAAGGTAGAGGGATAAGAAGACAACTTCTCCCAGGACCAGGGAGTTGGGACTGATGGCTTTACAGATTAGGAGCTGGGGGGTCCAGGGGGCAGCTTCTGTTTGAGGCCTGGAGGATTGGTTGCTTGTAGCACAGGCAAAAGATGACAGAGAGAATCAGAAGCAAGCAGGAATCATCATCATAATAACAACAATGACAATGACATCAGCAGCAGCAGTTGAGCACCTCTTGTATGCAGGTACAAGTATGCTCACAAACACGCTCATTTAGTCCTTTTAACAACCCTTGGAGACAGGGCATGGACTCTCATTTTATAGACGAGCTCACATAGCCAGCTCTTGCTAGAAGGGAGTTCTATCAATCTAGAGAATCTCCTATCTACTCATTGCTCTACTCAAAAAAGACAAAAGTCCCTATCAGTCTGTGGGATGCTCCTAGACATGCTTCTTGGATTCAGCATCTACCAACCAGAAGCAACTGAAACATCTATCACCTTGATGCTGTTCGGAAGAAAGTTTACCAAAGCCTTAAAGGGGAGTAAATGCTACGTGAGCAGGCTGGGCAGAGAAGCAGGGGATAGAAATAGATGCTGATTATCCAGCAGCAACATGAAGCCCTGGAACAGGTGCAGAAAAGAATGCAAGCCTCACCCCTAAGGCCTCAAACAAATCACCTAAAGGGGCAAGGGAGAAACAAATAAAAAGACAAGAAGAAACCTCAAACTATTCCTGCCTAGTTTGGAAACTGATGCTGTTGGAATCCTTGTTCCCTTAGCAGCGAATGTGGGAAAGGCTGGAAAATGAGCCCACCAGGCCAGCACGTGCTGCATGTGGGGAATTGGCTTCCCTCTAGAAGTGGAAACGAGACAGGCACCACTTAGCCAGGGGTGCAGTGGGAGCCTGGGGCAGGGAATTCCCATTGTGTTTTATGTCATCTCTCTGCTGTCCCCTCATGTGGCCAATGCCCCCACAGCAGGAGTGAGAAAAACTCACTCTGGGCTGAGGTGTCTCCAAGCCTCTGCTGCCTCCAGCAGGGGGAACTGCAAGGGGGCAACGTGGAACTTATCTTTGTCTAACAGCTAAGTGGGGACCAGACCCCTCAGACCTCTCACCAACGTGGAACTTTCTGACCTGGTCTTTGAGCACTTCTGGTTCAGAAGTCCTGGCCAGATCCCATGGCACAAGTCTGCATGTTCCACTGGACGCTGAGCGGGGTTCTCAGCTCTGCTCTCCAAACCTGTCTGTGCTGCGAACAAAGACCTTCGGAGGTTTGTTTTGTGACTCTTATGTTTTTTTAAGAGGAGAATATTTAATGAGAAATATTTCTCATTTGAGGATTCTCTATGGCCTGCTTGTGTCCTTGCCACATGCCCATTGAAGGCATTGCCCTGTAACAGACAAAACACTACTGGCCAAGAAGCAAGTGTTGTGGGCTCCACGCTCAAGCCAATCCCTTTGCTCTGTGCCTTCCCTGCATTCCTTATGCAGACAAGACTGCCATAGAAGTCACGAAGGACTGTGATTGCATAAAGATTCCCAATTCAGGCTCCTGGAATGTCACTAACCTGGGCCTGGCCAGCTTCCCAGCACAGCCATCGACAAACTTGGTATTAACGCTCTCCCAACCCTCTTAAGCATTCAGGGCCTTGGCTTTGTGTTTATAACTCTTCTCCTAAATGATATTAAAATGAAATGGTCTGAAGCCAAGTACATTTCAGTATAAACCTTTGAGAGGCAGAGCCCACTAAGTGCAGGCGGCCTTGTTTGGAAGTGGCCCCAGCTGCAGCCTGGGCTCCAGCAGGCCAGGGAGTTCTGCAGGGTCCGGTGAGAGCAGACAGAATAGGCTAGGGACAGGGGCCAAGACCCCTGACTAAGTGGATTCCCAAGATCTAATTCCCTATGTGCAAATATGTGTATCTCCCCAGCCAGCACTGGTCCTAGCTTCTCCCCACATTTTACATAGTAGGCATGAAATTGTCATGTATCTGAAGCTGGGTACTGTACCTCCTTTTTATCTTACACAATCCTCCCTTTTGTCAAGTCTTCCCCCTGTGGCCTGCCTTCTCAGCTTGCCCCATGCTGGCCCTACCCTGTGCCCTGCTCACTGGGTTGCTGATGCTCGTTGGACCCCATGGGACCCAGAGAGACTGGAAGTCAGGAAGCCCTGGTGGACACCTGCGGCCAGATCCTGTGGGCCCCTGCCAGGTAACATGGCCACCTGGGAATAGCCACAGTCAGGTGTCCTTCAGCTTCCCATGCCCTCCTTAGCTGCCCCTGTTGCCTTCCTCGCCCCACCTCCAGCCAAAGCCTCCAAGGTGGGGCTTGTGACACAGTCCTGCTGGTAGAGCCACTGCCCTGCTCGCCTGTCGCCCTTCAGCCTCCCCACCCCCTGCAGCCCTGCATGCTCTGAGATAACCTTCCTCAGTCCCTTCTCAGGGCCCGTTTCTTATTATAAAATGCCCAGCCAGCCTCAGCGTGGCCGCCTCTGAGCTCCCCACGCAGCCCCTGTCGGCATCCGAGCCTGCTCTGTATTCTGCAGGGCGCACGTGAAAGGGGAAGTGAGAGGGCAGTGAGGTGAGGCCCACAGAAGGAAAGGGACACCTCTCGTTCTGTTTCCACAACCGTTAGGAGGATCCCCTCTCAGAAACTCCTGGAAGTCACCTTTGAGTCATCACTTTTAGAGGACTGAGGTCCAGGATCACTCAACATGTTAGAGGTAAAGCAAGGCCCACATACCACATTCCAGAACCAGGGAAGTAGACACGCCTGTCCTCGGGGCTCTGAGGGTGCAGGGTGCTGAGAAGCCCTGCGGGACAGGTAGGTGGGGGCTGCAGGGGTTGGCAGCCCTCGGGGCAAGCGGACTGAAGTGCTGTTGGCCCCTCCTCCCAGAGGGACAAGCTGGGGCAGAACTGGAACCTTACCAGGCTTTGCTTACCAGCCTGCTTTCTCTTCTCTGTGCCCGAGAGCAAAGCCTGTGGCTTC